CAAGACCCAGTCAGTGTCAGTGTCACAGACCTAGTCCCGGCCATAAATTTAGATTGATGCTTTCCTCACACTGGTCTGATCATGTAGCAGAATGACAGTCAACTAAGGAACCAATGCCCACAAAGACACATTTTTTTGCCAAATTTAAGCAACTGAGAGGTTTAAAAGGAGGGATGCTTTGGTTGGATTTATTGGAGTTCTGTTTTAATCCCTCAAGATGCTGTTTAAGTTGTTAGAAGTGTTTTCATAGAATGTCAAACAGCAATCACAAAGTTTTATAAGACACAAGGGTGGAGGGGGGTGTTAAATGTGGAAGAGGATCAAGATACATTGGATACATGTATTTAATCATCAAAGAATAAATATAAAATATTCTAAAAAGAAAAAAAATGCCCAATTCCATAAATGTAGAAATGTTATTTTTTGGTTTTTAAATTTTAATTATTTTTTATTTTATGTGTATGAGTGTTTTGACTGCATGTATGTAAGTGCACCCATGTGTGTAAGAAAGATTTTTTTTAATTCAATGCTTATTTGTGATGAAATTCTCAACAAATTAAGAAAAAACGTCAACATCTTTAAGCGTATGAAAAGACATCCTAAAAGCTTACAATTGATAAAATAATTCATAGAAAAAAGACTTAAATTATTCTCTCTTTAAGAGTAGAATAAGATGCCTTTACTTACAAGTTTTATTTACTAGAAGTTCTGCCCATGGCAGTTACATAAGAAAACATTAACTTGTCATTATTCATAGATGGCATGTTCTTGTATATAGAAAAACATAAGGAATCCACAGAAAAATATTGGAATTCAGTTTTCATGTTTGTAGGATACATCAACATAATCTATTGCATTTCTTGCCAGTAATGATGAGAAATAGGAAAATGTAATCAAGAATAACACCAAAAGTAGGTAATTTGGAATACATTTGACAAAAGTTTCAGAATTCTACACTGAAAACTATAAAGCATTAGTGAAAGAATAGCAAGAAGACAATCAGATACATATGCAACATTCATTACTTCATATTATTAAAATGGTAATATTACCCAAATGAATCTTTAGATTCAGCATAGCTACTATTAGAGTCCGAGATGGTTTTATTTGCAGAAACTTGAAGTTGTAGAAATTGAAGGGACCTAGAAGAACCAAAACAACATGGAAAAATCGAAAACTTGGAAAACCTTTACTTGACCATTTCAAAATTTCTGACAAATGCAAAGTAGGCAAATCAGTGTACTTCTGGCATAAGGAAAGACATAGAGTAAGGGTTAGTTGAGATTCTAGATATAATCTCTCATATCAATTTAACTGAGTTTAACCAAGTAAAAGAACTTAGAGAAGGACATGATAAATTGAACTTAAAATTTAAAAATTACTTTAAAAATATTTCATTTATTATTTTTATTTTTATGTGTATGAGTGTACTGCATGCATGTATGTGAGTGCACCCGTGTCGCGCAGTGCTGTAGAGGTCAGAAGAGGGCTTCGGATTCCCCTGGAACTGCAGTTAAGGATGGTTTGTAGCCGCCATGTGGGAAGATATTATCAACAAAGTTAAATGTCACTACAAAAACTGAAAACCTATCTTTATAAATCACATATCTTATAAAATATATATTTAGAAAATGTAAAGACATCTCATGGCTTAAAATGTCAAATCTTGCTTTAAAATTTGAATAGGCATTTCTTCAAACAACATATATAAATATCCAATAAGCACACGATTAGATATCCAGTATCATTAGCTATTAAGAAAATGGGAATTGGAACTATTATTACAACATTTTTCACATATTAGAAGGATTTAATTTAAAAAGGACTAAAATAAGTGTTGCTGAGGATGTGAAATATTGGGATTCTTTCATAAATTGCTGGTGGAAGAACAAAATGGTTCAATTCCTTGGAAGACGGTAGCTCTTCAAAATGTTACACACAGAGTTAATATGTTATATGACTCTGAAATGTCTCCCCATGTGTGTTGAATGCTTGATCCTCCACTGGTGAACTATTTTGGAGGGTGTTGGAAATTTCAAGAATGTATAACACAGCTAGGTGAGGTAGATAACTCGCATAAGCCTTTGAAGGTTATGTGTACTTCATGATCCCTTTCTGTCTGCTTATTGTATGCCTTGAGATAAGTAGCTTCTGCTAAATGCTCCGATTTCTGTAATGTTCTCCCTTAACCATGGGCCCAGAATCAGTGGCATCAATTGAAGCCTCTGAAACTGTAAGCCAAATAAGTCTTCCCTCCTTTAATTTGTTATGTCAAGTCTATTATCACAGTTAATATATATTAACTAATACAGTAATTTGTTGCCAGGTGTGAGATTCTGGCTGTACTTACCTCATCACTTTGTTAGAAGCCTTTGGAATTGGTTTGTGAAGGGAATTTGGAAAAGTTTAGAGATGCAGACCAAAGAAAGACTAATATGCTCTAAGTAGAGCTTAATTGGGTGTTCTGGTGGGCGCTCAAGTAATCAGAGTGCCAATAGGATTATTCACAGTGAAGGCTGTGCTCATGAGGTTTCAAATGGGAAAATGAGTACTATTAGGAGTTATGATAAAAGTCATCCATGTTACACTCTACCAAAGAACTTGTTTACATTTTGTTCTTATCCTGAGACTTATTTATTGTAAGGCTGAACTTGACAGGCTGGTGAAAACAGCCCAGCATTCAGCTGTAGCATAATTATTGCTTGCTATTTTTAGTCAGTTTATATTGAGAATCTGGAGAATAAAAGAATGAAAAGATTTGGAAATATGCAGATTGGCCATAAAAGAGGTGGTTTAAAATGGCTAACAAGAAAGTTGTAGCTATTTATATTAGACTAATTAAGCAGAAGACAACTATTTTGCATCTATAGCACAAGAAATATATCTTGAGGGTATCTCACAAATTGTCAGGACTCTCCATCTCCATAAAGTATTTAAAGGTTTTTAACTCATTTGAAAGACTTTTTTGAGAAAAGAGATCCTGGGTTCCCTGCTTGCACAGAGCCACCCACAGAATTGTTAACCCAGGGTCAACCATACTCAGGAGCCACGACGACCATCATGGAAATATGCCCAGCACTCCTCAAGCTGGTAGTAGAATGTGATATCATGTGTGTGGGTAGCACATCAAAGCTATGAGAATGAAGCCTATGCTTTAGTGAAGATCCAAGGAAGTTTGAGATGCCAAAGACATGGAACATCTGCTGAGGAAAAATGTACTGGCAGTGGGCAGAGGCAGCTTATAAGAGTCGACTACAACTAGCAAATTCATAGGGCTGGGGCTTTCCAAATTCATTGGAATGTAGATCACAAAAATATATGTTCCAGGTGTTAGACATAGAGCTACAAGATTTAATATTCTGATGATTTTTTTCTTGCAGTGGTCTAGTCCTTGCATTCTCATATTCCTCCAGTTTGGAATGGGAATGTTTACTCTCTGAGATTTAGGTTGGGAGCTCCCAGCTGAGTTCTTGCCTCAAGTGTCAGAAGAGACTTTCGACTTGGAGTTTAAAAAATTTTTTATTTATTTTTATATTATGTCTATGAGTGTTTTCTTTGTGGGTATGTAAGTGCACCATGTGTATGCAATACCCATGGAGGCCAGAACAGGGCACTGGATCCCTTGAAACTGGAGTTACAGTTGTTATCTGCCATGAGGGTTCTGGGACCTAAACCCGGGTCCTCTGCAAGAGCAGCAAGTGCTCTTAACAGCTGAGCCATCTCTCCGCTCCTCCCCTCCTCAGCCCTGCAGTTTTGAACAATGCTGGAACTAAGATGTTGGTAATGATTGCAGTTGGTCTAAATGAATTTTGCATTATGAGCCCTTGGGGGCCAGATATGGACTGTTATTGTTTGAATATGAACTACCCCCTTACACTTATGTATTGAATGCTTTTTCTCCAGCTGTGGTATTATTTAGGTGGAAACTTTAGGTGGTGAGGTCTAATAGGAAGAAGTAGGTCACTGGGAGCATGTTTTTGAAGGTTGTATGTGGTCTCAGGTTCCTTTTTCTTGGTTTGATACCTAGCCACGTCTGTGGACATTGCATGATACAGGTGCACATACACACTTGAGGGCATAACACTGATACATATAAAATAAAAATAATAAATAAACTTTAAAAAGAGTGATGTGCTGGGAAATCAGCTCTCCAGAAAAGCAACTTTAACACTGTTTATAGCACTTGTTGTTTCTGTAGTGGATATGCTTGTACCATGGCCAGTTTCAAGTTACTAGCATGACAGTAGTAAATACACAATTGGCAAGTTACCCTGTGTGAACCCTTTACTAACAGTCAATTATTTAGTCCAAAAAAAAGATAGCAGTGCAAACAGCAAGGCAGTGTTGTTTTCTAGTGGTTGTTCCTTGCATATTGTACACCTTCTGAGAGTTTGGCATAAGTGCAACACTTGTAGCACATTTGTCACACTTAAAGATATTAGAATCATCTTTGTGAGCAACTCCCAGGAGGCAGTGAATATCTGTGGATGATGTGAGGAAGGAACCTCCAAACCCTTTCATAGATTTGAGCCTAAGGAAAGGAGTGCACTTATTGACTAGAAGTTCTTAACTGCCGGGGGGTTACCAGCGGCAGACTGCTGGAACAACATATTCCTTACAGGTTTTAGATAAGACCTAGAATTACCCAGCTGAGATGTCACTGCTTTCTCTGGAAATCATGGTTTGCATATCAAGTAATACAAATGATTGGGCCAAGTACCTGAACACAGATCTATGGCTTTGTTACCTAGCTGCTCAAACTTGTAGCACTCCAACTTCTGCTTCCAAAACAGCAGAGATTATAGGCACCAGCAACCACACTTAGCTAATGACTTGTTTTTACTAGAAAGATGACTCTGCTATGACAAGTATCCTTTCTTGGTTTGTTTCGTGTTGTATCTCCATTATCTAGAACAGTTTTTGCCACTCAATAAGTAAGTATTGAATCAATGAATGGATGAATGCTTTGACACCAGGATTTTTATTTTCTCTTTCTCCAGCCTGGCTACTGCTTCAAATCAAGTCTCTTCTCAGAAATCCACAAGGGAATAACAGTAAATCATTTTCCCAACTGAAGATCTTGTTGGCAGTTTTGTGAAGACAAATGATGTTACTTGGGGGATGAGCCAATAATATTGCTTTGAGAAGCCTCCTTCACTGCCTGAGTAGAATAGCTACAAATTATTGACTGTATACTGTGTGCCAAATATTGAGACAAGTGCTCATAACAAACACTGTGGTGAGTCCTATTTGCTTGGAGAGCTTGTAGAGGTTATCCTGGGCTACATAGGTAGTATTAAGAAAATCTAGTAATAAAAACATTTCTTCAACTATAAGTCACATATGTATTCTATTATACGATCCTATTTTCTGTGTTACTGTTTGTTCATTGATTAAGGGAATATTTATTAACTCCCAAGTTCTTTTGTAATGTCATACATTTAGATCTTCTGAAAGGAGAGGGAACTCTCACCACCCTGTGAAAATAACAAGCGAAAAACACTTTTTCTTATACCCATTCCCCAGAAATACAATGTTTGATAACTTGTAGTTACCAGGAGATATTGAATAACCTCACATCTCCCATTCCCAGGTGTTTCAATAAATTCTTTGGAGTAAGAGTATCTTATTTAGTTCCAGAAGATGAATGATAGTCTAAGCAATGATCTTATGGACTCCATTATCTGTATTGTAAGTGTAATATGCAAGAAATACATGGATATATTTGTGTCTTTCCAGTGTTAGAATTTGTTGAATAACAATAAATTCACGTTTCATTGCTTCAGTCTTAGATGACCTCTCAGATCACACATGTATATTACTGTGTGTGTGTGTGTGTGTGTGTGTATGTGTGTGTGTGTGTGTGTGTGTGTGTGTGTGTGTGTGAGAGAGAGAGAGAGAGAGAGAGAGAGAGAGAATATTTAGGTTATAGAATGGCTACCAAAGGATTAAAGGGGATCCAGATATCTGATCTTTACAGTCTCTAACTTGCAGTTTTAAGTTTGGCTTTAAGCATTTGAGATTGTCTCAAGAAAATGCTTTATATGAGATGACTTAGAGCCATATCAAGACAGCTTTTCCTTTCAAAAGCAGTCTTTTAAAAAGTCTGATTGGCTAGAGAGATGGCTCAGGGGTTAAGAACACTGACTGCTCTTGCAGAGGACCTGGGTTCGATTCCCAGCACCCACATGGCTGCTAACAACCGTCTGTAACTTCAGTTCCAGGTTATCTGAAGCCCTCTTCTGACCTCCAAGGGCATTGCGCAGCACAGATGCACCTACCTACATGCAAGCAATACACTTATACACATTAAATAAAAATAAATGAAAAATTTTAAAAGTATGATTCCAAAACTGGCTGTGGTGGCACACATCTTTAATCCTAGCACTGTGGAGGCAGAAGCAGGAAGGTCTTTGTGATTTCAAGGCCAACTTGGTCTATGTAGGGAGCTCCAGGGCAGCCAGGGCTACACAGTGAGATCCTGTTTCCAAAAATAGTATAATTCTAGAGAGAGAGAACTGATACAGATTCAAAGAGAGTCACTGCAAGTGGTTAAATGGGATATTAAGAAATACAATTGGAGAACTACTGGAAGACAGTGGAAGTTTTCCATGGGGTAAAGCCTAACCACAAAGCCCTAGAGTCAAGGTGTGGAACAGATCTAAAGAGACAGAAGAATGGAAGGACAAAGATTCAAGCGGCCCAACTTGAGCAGTGGAGACTATGTTGAGGTGAAGCCAGAGGACACTGAGAAATTTTTAACCTGTCAGTTCCTTGGCATATGCACTAGATATTTGATATCAACTAATATGAAAATTCTAAGAGCATCTCTGGAGGTGTTCCAAGTTCTTGTATCTTTGAACAAGGAATTCAGCAGAGAAGTAGTTGCAGAAGAAACTGAGACAATTTGGTAGAAAAAGATACACTTTCAAGGAGTAAGCAGGCCAGAGGGCAGAAAAAAGTATAGTGGCTCAAATGATGCTGTTGTTTAAGTAAATTTTTATTCATGTGTTCTCTTTACCCTATTTTCCTGCCTCAGATTCATCCCCTTCAGTGTCATCCCAGAAATCTTTTGGTGGAGGTGGAGGGTGATAATGATTCTTCTACAACTACTTTCACACTGTTTATGGATGCAGTCTCTGCCTAATAGGGACCACAAATTCTCTTTCTGTTCTATCTGTCAGTTGGTAAGGAGGATCTGGGTCCCCCATGACAGGAATTGGCTGGAATACCTGTAGCACTAGGAGTTTAGTTTTGAAGTGCTGTAACCTGTTGACGCCAAGCCAGCATTTTTCTTTTACCATTAGACGTGTTCTCCCTTGGGCTGCTGTTAGCCTGTGGAGGGACACTGAGTCCTATAATATATCTTTGCTCATAATTTTCACAATTGAGTTTAGTTGTGAGATTCCCTTGGCTTATAAAAAACATACTAATGGAATTGGGTATGTGGCAGAATAGAAAAGAACAATTCCAAGAAGAAATACAGTGATGGAGTAGATTAAAAGGAAAATGGTGTGAAGTTATGATCATTAAGTATATATTATGCTAACAGTGCCAAAAGAAAAATAATGAAAAAGCCCAAAACACAAAGTAAGTTACAACTACAGATAGCTTTGTAAATAGACTTACCTTTGTATTTAAGAAGTTAAGACATCCTTTTCTCTACTTTGAAGAAAAGTCTTTTTAACAGTTCAAAGGTTTAAGAATAAGTTCTCCACTTAAAAAAAAATTAGATTGTTTTTATTTTATGTGTATGAGTGTATTGCTTTTATGTATGTAAGTGCACCCATGTTGTGCAGTGCCCGTGGAGGTCAGAAGACTGCATCAGATCTCCTGGAACTGGATTTATGGATAGTTGTTAACCACCATCTGGGTGCTGGGAACCAAACCTGGATCCTCTGCAAGAGCAGCCAGTGTTCTTAACAACTGAGACATCTCCCCAGCCACAGTTCTCTAGCTCTTCTGGTGTAAGTGAGGTAGGCCTTTATCTAGCCTGACATCCTCTTCTGGCCTCCACAGATTTTGCAGACACATGATGCATCTACATACATGCAGACAAAACACTTATACACTAAACAAAAATATTAAATTATGATTAATATATGAAAGTCAGTTGGCAAAATGACTGGAAACCTTGTTCTACAAGAGCTACATGTAATAAAACAGTGCATGTGGAAGAAATAGCCTGGGAGCTCTCCCCGGGAAAGAAAGTGCAATGCAAAAGGCCTATAAAGGATCATGTAACTGGGCCCAGAGCTTTTGAGCCTCATACCCTTTTCAGCTCTAGTCCACTCCTATTCTCTGGAGTACCTTTCTCTTCCTCAATAGAAACCATTTCTATAACTAAAAAAAGGTAGTGACTTAATTCCACCTCCTAGATAGTTATAGAAACAGAACAGATAGGCCTTTAAATTTTTTTTCATTGTGGACTTCATAGACCTTTTCCCCCAAAGGCACAAATGGTTACAACTATTATTATTAGGGTACATAAATATCAACTTTAGATGTTTGCTGATACTTTTCTCAGGCTAGATAAGAGTGGGAGGGAACTCATTTGGACTGTGGTGGACTCTTCAGTCCCTGAAGCTCAGACCCACCTTGTCCCAGATAGTGAAAAATGATAATAAAATATGGCTTTAGGGATTGAAGAGATGAATCAGCAGTTAAGAGCACTGACTGCAATTGCAGAGGACTTGGGATCAGTTTCTAGCACTCACATGGTGGCTAACAAGTATCTGCAACTCCAGTTCCAGAGGATCTGACATCCTCTTCAGTTCTCTGAAAGCACTGCACACATACATGCTCAAAAGCTCTGGGCCCAGTTACATGCAGACAAAATGCTCATACATATAAATAAATAAAAATTTAAGATTAACAAGCTGGAGAGATTGCTCAGTGGTTAAGATCACACACTGCTCTTCCAGAGGACCCAAGTTCATTTCTGAGCACCCACATTGGACTTACAAGTACCTGTAACTCCAACGCCAGGAACTCTAGGAGGACGAAATGCCTCTGGTCTCCACATGCACCCAAACTCGTGCACATATACAGACACACATACATAATTAAAAATAAAATAAAGCTTTATAAAAGATTAAGATTGGAGGTTGAGCAATGGCTCAGAGGTTAAGAAGTCTGGCTTCTCTAAAAGGATACCCAGGCTTGATTCCCAGAACCCACATGGCAGCTAATAGCCTTCTGTAACTTTAGATGAGGATCAAATAGGTACTTTTTAAAATAAATTTTTAAATTACATTTTTTGTGTATTTTATACAGAACAGCTCAAAAACTCTCAATCACTTTTATACCCCTGTCCCAACTGACACCCTCCCATAGTGCCCCCCCCATCTGGAGCCCATATACTCGATCATCTCTGTCAGGCCCACTGGGTTGTCAGTGTCCCCAGCTGTTGCTCAGTACAAGCCCATCCAGTAAGTCTGGTCAACCTCTCTAGAGTCCCTTGGTTTAGGAAGATCAGCTCTTCTTTGTCCAGCAGCAATCAGTTCCCAGCATTCCTTCAGATAAGATTGAGATTTATTGTTCATTTTTCCAGTTCTATGCTGGGTTATTGTCTGTTATTGGTGTATGCTATTACCAAATACCACAACTGGTCACACACATTGTCTATGAATTGCCCAGGCCTAAGTGACACATTTACAATGCAACCCCTACACCTAAGGCTGATGGAACATAGAACAGGTATACTGAAGAGGACACTAATGAATCAGTTCTCAATAATGAAGCTCCCTCATGCAACCAAGGGCCAAGACATAAAAGGTCACAAATAGCCAAAGTGTAGAGATCAAAAGTCTGCTGAATGCTGGTCCTTGGACAGGATTCCTTTATTAAACTTCTCCCACTCAAGGCTCCAGGACCATTGTGAAAGAGGGGGTGGATAGATTGCAAGAGCCAGGGAAGAAGTTCATGACCATATGGAAACAGAGTCCTACAAGCTCCTGGGAACCTGCTCAAATGATCCTATGGCAACGGTGTCAGCATAAATAGGCATTTTTACATCACCGTTTTATAACCGGTGCCTGGGCCTTATGTTTCTTTTCTTAATGGGTCATGTTATCTCTGGAAAATTCTGAGTTCACTTGGTCATCCTAGTTTACAAACTAGATATCCTAGGCAGGAGTCAGGACATCTGTTGCCTTTTGATTTATATCTAGGTCAGGCTAATTGGCCTAGGAATCATTAAAATGGTCATTGTCATTTATAAAAACAGGTATCACCATT